TTGTATCCTTATTTTATATAGGAAGATGCCAGGGCTCTGAGATCAAGTTCAGGTCTGTGAACTCTCAAACCTGCTTTCTTTCTACTCTGTCAGGGTCCCTATCCCTTCCCCCAATCTAAACAGTTGGGTGATTGCTAGGAGCAGGAGTGCCTGAGAGTGGACACAGAAGGAAGTGTGACTTTCTCTGGTTCTGAAGTTCGTGTGGCCCCAGTTTTTCTAGATGGAAGCTTTTCTTCTGGCAAGAATTTTTTGCCATTTACATTTAACATGATATGTACAAACAAATACCCATGTTTTTAAATTTGTAACCTGGATTATTGAACTGTGTGGGCTACTTTTAAGGATACAGCCATGTCGCATTTTACAAGAAGGCTAGGTTCTAAAGTCAGAGGGTAAGGTGAAAAGCATTGTGGCAAAGTTATCTTTGAAAATCCCGCAGGAAGGTGTCTTGTTGGAGAGCCATGTGCTTCCTTTCTTTAAATGCAGCACCACCAGTCTTTCTTCCTTTGTAGTGAAGATAATGTTTTTTTTCTGTTGAACTTTAAATGATGTAGGTGGCTGGTATTTGGAGGCAGTGTTGGGTGGAAATTCACATCTTCAAACACCAGTCTTCTTCAGCATGGTGAAATGCTTTGAGTATGAGAAGGATTTTAAAATCTAGACTGATACAAGAGTAGCAGATTTGTATCTAATTTTGGAGTTTATGCTCATTCAGTGGTTCTCAAAATTTTAGCTGTACATCAGCAGTACCTGGAGGGCTTTTAAAATACAGATTCCTGGGTTCTCCCACAGTTTCTGCTTTGGTAGGTCTGGGATTCAGCCAGAGGATTTGCACTTCTAACAGGTTTCGAGGTGATGCTCTTCCTCCAAGGATCTCACCTGGAGAACTCTCTTGCTCTCTTGTATTTTTAGGCTGAGTGGGTGTAGTTGAATTATTTTAAGTTAAATGAGGCACTTGTGGCTCAGCCAACTCTTTATCCTGTTGCTTAACTTACTACTTGGCCCAGAACAAGTACTTGGCTCATGCAATATCGATGAATGATTTAGTGAATTAACATATAATGGAAGGGGTTTTTAGCTCGTGGATATCATTATTATACATATCTATCCTATACAAACTACTTATTTTCCTGAATGTAGGCGATTTTTACATCAGAATAGGACCACATATGGCACATATCATGGACACTGAGAAGTATGCAATTAGGTGCATTGTGAAGAACATGCACTTTGGGACCCATACTATGAATGTGGTGGGTATGTGTAGATGTAGCGGGACTGGGAGTCCCGTCTGATTCAGAATAGCCTGGGAGGTCTTGCAGGGTCTGGGTTAGGTCAGAGCCAACTCCTGCCCCAGGGGGCTTGAGCAGCACTTGGATCAGCTCCTGTGCGCTCTAGACCAGTCACTGTGTTCTCACTCACGTCCCTCAAATCACCAGGGAATTCAACCCCTTTGACCCTAAAGGCTCAGTGGAGCTCTGCTGTGGGGTAACTGTAAGTGTCAGTAGTTGTACAGGACCCTTATCGAGATAGGACTTGATGATTATATTTTAAGTGGTAAGTTTATATTAAGCAGAAGGGAAATTGCAAAATATATATATTCGAAGTTCAATTTAAGTTTAACATTGTTGTCATTTTTATTATTTTTGACATTTTTAATTATCCTTCTTGGAAGGTCTCAGTATTCGGTGTTTTTGTTCTCTCAGTAGAGATTTATTTTTTTAATTCATTTTATTTACTTTTACTTGAAAAAACTTCAGCAAAAATTATATACAATATGACATTCTGTCTCTAAATTCTTCCATGTACAGCTGTAAAAATAAATTTTTCTTACGTAGCTAAAATAATATGATCACTTCTAACAAAATTAATACATTCTTAACTGCCATCTAATACCTAGTCCACATTGAAATTAACCTGATTGTCCCTAAATCATCACTATATCTCTTTGTTCAACCCAGATATAACCTGGAATCGTGCATTGCATCTGGTTATGATGTTCCTTAAAATTTACTTAATCCAAACAGTCTGTTTTTTAAAAGTGCTTAAAAGTGATTTATTTTCTCAAGTAGTTTAAACACTTTCCTTATAATGTTGTTTAGAAGGTTTAGCTGCAGCAGGCTAGCTCTACCTAAATAATCATCAGATGTGACTCAGTGACAACTGAGCTACTAGAATATGACTCCACATTGAAGCCAGTAAGCCCGAGGGTAATGCTTTGAGGAAGAGGGCAGAGTAAACTCCTGCTTCCCTATGTGGTTGTCAGTCACAGAGGCAGGAGCTTAGTTAGTTGCTCAGTCCTGTGCAGAGGAGAGAAAAGCTCCCTCACCAGGGAACAACACTTGCCATCATCCTGTCCCTCCAGTAGTCCAGTGCCAGTTCCCACTGAGGCAGTAAAGCAAGCAAAGTTACCTTTTGGATAATTTCACTATGATCAAACACAGTTGGCAAAAATATAGAAGGTACTATAATTTGATTGCAGTTTATCTCTAGCAATTATAGGTGAGCAATTTAAGTGGCAACAAAGCAAGCCATGTGCTGGAATGATGCTGTATTTCACGGAGCTTTATCTTCCCCGCTTCTCTGAATCACTCAGCTAAAGACAGCCTGTTTTCTTCAGTGGATCATGTATTCTCTTTCTCAATTTTTATTTGTATTTCTTGAATGTTTTAAATTTCATTTTTCAGTTTAAGTTTACATTCAACACTTTTGTATGTTTCAGATGTGGCATAATGGCCAATCATATACTTTATACAGTAATCTGATATTTTTATGTGGTATCATACAGAGTTATTACATTATTGACTTTACTTCCCATGCTGTAGTCCACATTCCTGTGACTGTTTTGTAACTTCCAATTAGTATTTTTCAGTCCTTTCAGCTTTTTCATCTGGTATCACTATCCCTCTGCCTTCTCTTCCCTCTAGCTATGAGTCTGTTTCTATTTTATTTTGTTCTTTAGATTCCAAATGTAAGTGAAATTGTATGGCATTTGTCTTCTCTGACTTATTTCACTTAGCATAAGACCATCTAGATATATCCATGCTGTTGCAAATAGTAAAATTTTATTTTTTATAGCTGAGTAATATTTCATTGTATGTGTGTACTACCACTTTTTTATCCACTCGTCTATTGATGAGCACTGGGGTTGCTGTTATATTTTGATTATTGTAAATAATGCTGCACTGAACATAGGGGTGCATATGTTTTTTTAAAATTAAATAGTTCTCTTTTAATGACATTGCCTTGCCATTTTCTTGTATAATGTCCCACCCTAGGATTTTTCTGATTGCCTCTGTAGAATGTCTTCAGCTAACTCTTTTACCCTGTGTATTTCCTGGAAACTGGAAATTAGATCTAAAGGCTGAAGCAAGATGCAGTTGAACATTTTTGTCAGGAATTCATCCTAGGTGATTTGTGTTTTGTGCTGTACCATGTGAAGTGATACATAGCCCCTGCCTGCCTGTCAGTGAGGCTGACTCACATTGATCAGTATAAAGTAAGGTGATGATGGTCTGATCCTTATGTTGTGAAGGTACAGGTTCCCTTTGTGAAAAGAGAGAACTTTCTGTGATACGACTTTTGCACTAATATGAATGTCTATTTCCCTGTTATCCATTCTCCTAATGCTTTTCATGCTGTTTTACAATTTTTGCCTGAATCAGTAACTTCATTAGTGTTTACAAAACTATCATTTTTCTAATTGTCATTCCTTCTACGATAGCTGACATTTGATTAAATAGGACTCTTTTTCATCAACTGGGACTGTTTAGTACTGTGAAATACAATTCTGCTGAAAAGACAGGTTAAATGTTGAGTTCTTTACCTTTTTTATTCCCAATTTCAAAGGAGTTGGTTTAATAAACATTTTATGGTGACAAGTGAACATTTGTCTTGCTTTCTCCTTTTTGATATCCTCAGGGACTAAGGATTTTCATGAATTGAGTATTTAATCAGTCATAATTCTTATTTGCATTCAGTTTGTTTTCTGTTCAGTTCATTAAACTTTACTCCATGATAGTATCTTGTAGTTGGTTCCTATGTCTGTTAGACATAACTCCATTACTTTTTGAGCACGTCCTTGCTTCCTTGAGCAGCAAGATGCATATAGCTTTATCTCTTAGCTTTCTTGTCCCAAATGTCAGTCAGACACATTACAAATGAGCCCTTGTTTCTTTTAGTGGGTGATGGTCAGACACCAGATTGCTGGTCCTTAAATTGTCAAGTGTTACTGGAGTGACAGTATTTGTAGACCTTGTCAGGGTTCTGTTTAGTTTTTAATTTTGATATTGATAGTTTGAATAAAGAAAATTTAGTTAAAGGGTAGCTGTATTTTAAAAATTGGTTCACAAAATAGAACCAGACTCATAAATACAGAAAACCAACTGACAGTTTTGAGGGGCTAAGTGGAAAAGGTGAGGGATTAAGCAAAAACAAACAAACAAACAAACAAAACAGCAAAAACTCATGGACACAGATAATATATGGTAATTACTAAGGGAAATGTGGGGTGGGGGGAGGTAGAAGCGATTAAAAGGGAAATAAATGGAGATCAAAGCAGGCTTGACTTTGGGTGGTAAACACACAGTACAATATGCAGATGGTGTATTATAGAATTGTGCACTTGAAGAATTCATAATAACCAGTCTCACTCCAATTAATTTGATAAAAATTTTACAAAATTAATAGGTTGACATCAGTATTTCTCATTTACTTTTAACATTATTGTGTTTTAAAGTAGCAAATTGATTTTATAGGTGTGTCTTTACTCTTATACTGAAAATCTTGACCACCAGTAACATTACTTTATGTTATAATATAAAGAAAATAACAGTATTTATATTGCTACTACTAATAAAATCAGTTGAAGTTTAATTTTTTGTAATTTTTGTAGCATAGTTGGATTTTAATAAAAGAATAAATTTAATTACTTTTTCGTTGATCTCATTTAATTATTTTCCTTTGTAATATGTGTTTCATCTATTTTGTTTTTGTCATAGGTTGATCATTTTGGATTTAAGACTGATAAAACTTTTAAACAGCGTTACCTAATAGCTGCTCAGCACTGGCAGAAAGAGGGTGGGTCCATACTTTTCTACACTGGTAATGAAGGGGACATTATCTGGTTTTGCAACAATACGGTATGTACAGATTTGTAAAATTCCTATGCTTTGTTTATCTTTTATCATTATACACTAGAAAGATATTTTGCAGTATATGTGACCAAATATTACTGCACTTAATTGTGAAGTTCTTTAAGAAACAACAAAATAAATTCAATAGAAAAACAGCAAAATAATGTGAATAGGCAGTTCACAAAAGAATAAATACAGATACCCAATAAGCCTGCATGTTCAGCCTTAAAGAATTATGCATGAACAGAATTAAATACTATATTTGGACAATTGAATTTTAAAAGATTTTTCTTATAAATACCAACTTTTTCTAGTGTAAACAAGGATATGAGGGAAATGGGAATAGAAATATTATGGCATATAGTTATTTTACAGAGGCACAAATTTTTGTATCTTTGTTGAGTATTATATTTTCAGAGTCCAGGACTGTTAGGCATATAGTACATGCTCAATAAATACTTGTTAAATGAATGAATGAGTAAAACCTGACTAAAGCCAATGTAAATGAAAAAAAATACAAGTTTAATTTTCAAATAGGAATAGAGAAGGGTAAAGCTGTAGTTATGTTTTAATTTAGCTTTTCTGTTTTACCATTTCTCTTATGAGAGTGAAAGATGGTATAGCTGTTAGCTTGTTTTCTTTATCATATTGTCTATTATATTTTATAATAATACTTAAATTCATTAACAAAACTTAGTTTAGTGCCAGAGCTGTGACTGGAAAATGTGACCATTCTACCAAAAACCTAGATGTGAATTATGTTAAAGTGGGGGTTGAATCCTATCTTCTCCACTGTAAATGTCTGACATTGTACCTGGTATTCAGGATGTCTCAGTAAATGTTGAACTGAACTAAACTGAAAGCAAAGATATGAACCCAGTTATACTGTGTTATTGTCTGCCACATTTCTGATTATTTCCTTAGTAATGTGAAGGGTATAAATATGTTACATGAAAATAAAACAATTCCCTGAGAAATGAGAAGCTAGGATAGCTACTCTCTTAGATCAGAGACGAGTGAAATCAGAACTTACTTTCTGTCAGATGCCTGCCCTGGTATTCTGTGAAACAACTGAGTCTGCCTTGTCTGCCTTTCTCTTTCTGTGTGACTTCCCTTTTGTGCCAAGGCCACAGGGCAGCTTCTCCAGTCCAGGGATGTCCCCAGCTCCTGTTCTTCTGTATCATAGGCTGGGGGCTGTTCCTGCCTCTCCCAGCCCCCGCTGGTCTCACTGGCGCTGCAGTGGACTGAAGGCTTGTTGGGGAGTCTGACCTCAGAAGTGGTGGAAGGGAGTAGACAGTGTAGGAGCAGCATTCCAGAGGACTGGCTAGACAGAGCCAGATCCTGGAGGGACAGATGCTGGTCCTTCCCCAGCCCTACACACCTTTTCACACTTCCTAAGGTGTTCAGTTACGTATTCACATATTCTGGACATTCATTTATGGAGAGGCAGGATATCAAAGTAGTCAAGAGTGAAGACTTCAGGCTAGTGATAAGGTTTGAATAAGATTCTGATAAGGTACACATTTTGGTTTTGCCATTATGCTGTGTGACTCTGGGCACGTTTCTTATTCAGTGCCTCAGCTTTCTCATCTGTTATATGGGTATAATAAGAATGTTTAGCTTATATAGTTATTAGGTGCTTAAAGAATCAGGTTCCCAGCACAATCCTGGTGTATAATGTTATTAAACATTATTATATTACATGGACTTCTTTTGAAAAATAAAGATACCCCTAAAGTCAAGGCAGATAATCACTTATTACAATGTGAATCAGGTCAAGTGGATTGCTCCCTCTCAGTGTCTGGGGTCAAGTCCACAGAGGTCTGGCTGCTATGATGGATGGTCCTTACCTTTAATAATCTCATAGTCTGGTAAGGGTAAGACACACATGTAAGCAAATATTGCATCTCAGTAATAGAGATCTGTACCTAGCTCAGTGGTGTTTAGAGGAGGGAGCGATAAGCACCGCCAGGGTGTGGCAGGCAGAGGATGATGCCCTTGAGCTGGGTGTTACAGGGTCTAGAGATAAATGGCAGGAATGAGTAGGGTGTTGATCACAGTAGGGAGAAGTGAGGTTATTGAGATCATCACAGATATCAGGTCAAATTCTTCATTTTTACACACATACAGCTCTTTTAATTGTCATTATTGATCAAAACACAAACTTTTAGAATTTCTTAATCTTTGTTAGGGAGGAGCAGCACATTAAAAGCGAAAATCTGCAGTAGGGATGACAAATAGTTTGAATGTATGCTGAATCTAAATGTAATCGGTGCTTGTTGGCTGCCTAGAATGCTTTGTTGAGAACATTCTGAGGACTCCACTGATATGAGTGAAAAATTGCAGTGACTGATTAATGATGACCAGCAGTGTCTGTGGAAATAAGAATGTCTTACAACCCTGGGTGATTGTGCTCCGGAGCCAGACAGCCCATGTGTGAATTTTAGTGCTGCCACTTCTAGCCGTGTGACCATGGCAGGTTATTTAAACTCTTGTGCCTCAGTGACCTTGTCTGTACAGTGGGAGTAATCAAAATGCATAGCTCATGGATTGTTGTAAAAATTAAGTGAATTGATACTATATAAAATGTTTACAACAGTGCCTGACATGTTGCAAGCAGTTTATTAGCTATTGCTAGTTACTATTTCTTTTTATGTAAATAAGATTAATATAAAAACCCAAATGAATCCAGTATGCTTATTTGTACTGTTTTGTCTTTTATGTTGTAAATGTCTAAGAGTAGTCAGTGAACTTAGATATCCTCAGCTTTTTCTTAGACTGTATGGCACACAGTACAGTTTGAATACTATTCTAAACAGAATGTTGATTTTATGGCTAGAGTGTCAGAATAATGAGTGTTGGAATAAAGCATGGTTCAACAAGTTGGAGTGATTTTTAGTTGTTTCATTATAATACAGTGTAAGATTCATGTGCAACAGTGAAACATCAATTATGTCATTTATCTGCAGAATAAATATAAATTATGCAGTTGTTAGCTCTTTTTGGTCTGATTTAACATTTGTTTCATATGATTTGCAAAGAATTTAATGATTTCTTTCATATCCTGATTTTATCCTCTGAATTTGTAAATTCTTCCTAGGGGTTCATGTGGGACGTGGCTGAGGAACTGAAAGCTATGTTGGTGTTTGCTGAACACAGATACTATGGAAAGTCGCTACCTTTTGGTGCCAACTCTTTCAAGGTAAATATACTATTTACTTTTAAGTTTAAAGGTTTTTAAAAATTTACAACATTTTCTAATTACAGTCCCCCTGTAAGAAATAAATAATAGGTTTAACTAGTACTGCTTGAAATTTCAATAATTTGTATTTTTCTTTCACCTTTATTTATAAGATGGAGACTTTTTAATACTATATTGTTATTATTTCTAACACTGATCAGTCTTTAAATCAGTGTGATGAGGCTAGTCTTCCCAGGTGAGTCTTAATCTATGGCTGCAGAGACTGTGGGGAAAACTCTTCATTGTTTCTAAAATGTCAGTAAATTATTGGGTCCACCACTAGGAAAAATATAATGAGAAGTGAAATGCTCATTAAATTAGGTGCTTGTCAGTAAAATGAGGACAATCTCTATGATTCATTGAGGCCAGCTGGCCACTTGGATTCCCTTTTGGCCTTTCCTGTTCTCACAAGGAGCTTGGGCCTTGGCCATAGACTCTACACCTGATAAACCAGGACACCTTTTGCTCAGCTGTGTCATTTCAGTGATATCCTTGTGATTCTGGCTATGTGATTTTTGTCATCTATGCTGTTGTTTATTAATGCTTTCCCTTAAGCAGTTCACTTTTCAACCCTAGTACTACCTTAACAAAGGCTTTATATAATATCCCTGTCATTTATACCTAATAAACCAGCACACTTTTTCTTCAACTGAGTCATTCTGGTAATATCCTTGTGCTTCTGGCTATATGATTTTGCCATCTGTACTATTATTTACATAATATTTTCCTTTAAACAGCTCACTTTACAAACTTAGCACTGTCTTAACAAGGGTTTCATGTACTGGTTATTTTTTCTAAATTATATTAAAACACATGAAATTAAAAATGTGTAGTACCCAAGAACATTATACATACCACCAGTGTACACATACCATGTTTTTGGGAAACTCTGAGTTAGAAGATCTTGGGGGTCAATTACTTTTTGCAGCTGCCTGTTTTAAAATATTTTAAATTTTTGTTCTCTGAGGCTTTATTATCTTATCTTATAGATAAATGAAAATTTTTTATGTTATAAATGAAAAGGAGAACAACTTGTTGATATTTGTTGGGCTGTATGGGAAAATCTATTGTTTAACTCATTGTTTTGCATAATTATCTGATTAGGGGAGATGACAAGTCCTGAAACCATTGGGAAGTAGTTAGCTTGTGGCAGATACAAACATACCTCCTCTCCTAGGTCCCTATGGTTCATACATTGTCAATAAAATGGAGCTAAGAGCTCTCTGTGATAAACTTCTTCTCTTTGTGTGCTAACAAATTCCTCAGTCACTTGGGGGATATTACAGATATTCCAGAATTGGAAAAAAAAGTTCTCTCAAGAATACAAGTGCTGTGAAAACAAAGTGAGGGGTAGTGCCAGACAGTGAGGGGGAGGTAGGAAGTCAGAAGGCTGAAGGAGTAGCTGACACACATAGAACGATGGGAACTGTGTGATCCGATGTGCCAGATGATGGGAGGAGTCAAACAGAGTGGTGAGACCAAAGCGTGAAGGCCAAATAGGGTAGCCTCAAAGAGGTCTGCAGCCATAGCAGTTACCAATCACTGTGTACCTATTTCCTCACACCTTGGTAGCCTAAAACAACAGCCGCCATTTATTATCTCACAGGAATTAAGAGTGACTCAGCTAGGTGGTTCTGTTTCAGGGGGTCTTGTGAAATTAAGATGTCAGCTGGTGGTGCAGTCATCCGAAGGCTTGCCTGGGGCAGGAGGTCCCTCTCCTCTCATGGAGGGTCCACGTAAGTGACAGACTGGTACTGGGTGTTAGCAAGAGGCTTGAGCTCGTCTCCCCCGGGTTTCTACAAAGGCCTGCTTAAGGAGCCTCTCAACATGGTACCCAACTTCCCTCAAAGTTGACAATGGGAAGAGCAAGGTGAAACTACTGTGCTTTTTATGACCTAAGATTGGAAGTGACAAAGCATTTCTGTCACATTCTATCTGTTAGAAACAAGTCACTAAGTCCAGCCCAAGTTTAAAAATAGAGGAATTAGGCTTCACCTTATAAAGGGAGATACCTCATTAGTCTTTCTAGCTTAGCAAGACTCTGTTTGAACTTCACCTCCCTACACTGCAGTGGGAAAATGGCCCCTGGGCAGAGACCTAGATGGTCATGGAACTTACTCTATGAGTGTCCTTCTCTGAGCTCTCTGTGTCTCGTGTTGCTGTTTTATAACGCCTGAAGGTTGTTTTTTTAATTTTATTTTTAAGATTTTATTTATTTATTTTTAGGGAGAGGGGAAGGGAAGGAGAAAGGGAGACAAACATCAATGTGTGGTTGCCTCTTGCCTGCAACCCAGGCATGTGCCCTGACTGGGAAGCAAACCAGTGACCCTTTTTGGTTCATAGGCCTGAGTTCAGTCCACTGAGATAAAAAAACTAGCCAGGGGTGTTTATTTTCTTTCTTTGTTTTTACTTTAATCTTATAGCTGTTTATAACAGACATCCTAGTCTGTTTCAGTTGTTGGTATGTCAGACATAGTAATTTTTCTGATAGAGTGAATTTTATTTTTGCTAGTGATTCTTACTTCAATTTTCCACAGGATGTAGCTTACCTTTGCCTATGTATTATCCATTTTAAATGTTTACAGATTTGAAATAAAAGTTATAATACAGCAGTTGTCTGTTAAGCTTAACATTGTATCCCATTACGTTTGCTGTTATATGTTATATTGTTTTTATAACCTCAACAAGATCTTTGGTACATAGCATTTAATAGAAATTATATCTGAATGCAAAATATATTATGTTCTTTCCACAAACTTGAAATCACTTTAAATTAGCATTGCTGTGGCTTTGAACAGACATTTTAACTCAATTATCTAGAAATTCTATTTGGAGAAAATTTATCTGACTCTGGCTTTTTTCTGGATCTGCACTATGCCTAAGCTGCTATTATCTGCACACTCATACCCGTGTTCTTTGTTATTTTTATTTTTTTAAGGATTCCAGGCACTTGAATTTTCTGACTTCAGAACAAGCTCTGGCTGATTTTGGAGAGTTAATCAAACACTTGAAAAGGACAATCCCGGGAGCTGCAAATCAACCTGTCATTGCCCTGGGGGGCTCTTACGGTGGCATGCTTGCAGCCTGGTTCAGGATGAAATATCCTCATGTGGTGGCTGGGTAAATGCATTTATGTTGGACAGGAGAACTTCTAAGTGGTTGTCAAGGCAAACCTAGAGATTTAGTTTGGGTAAAATATGTTCTGTTTTATTATACTGAGATTTCTAGTTTCTATCTCATTAACAGCTATCAATTATTTTATCATCATTTTTTTCAATATCAGTGTCAATTTTAAAACTTGATGATGAGTTACATTTTTTTTCTTTTCTCTTTCCGTGTTTTATGACCATTTAGAGCTCTTGCAGCCTCTGCCCCTATCTGGCAATTTGAGGATCTAGTACCTTGTGGTGTATTTATGGAAATTGTAACTACAGATTTTAGGAAAAGTGGCCCAAATTGTTCTGAGAGCATCCGCAGTTCCTGGGATGCCATTAATCGACTCACAAGAACGGGTGAGCTTTATTCAGTCTTTCACTTGTCAAATTTAATGTTTCCCACCTTTTCTATAAATGTTTTATTTGAGTATGACATACATATTTAAATATAACACTCAGAAAAGTACACAAATCAAAATGCATAGTTTGATGAATTTTCACAAAGCAAATGTGTAGTGTAATCACTATCTTGTCAAAAAATCTTCTTGTGCCCTTTTCACTCACTGCTTCAGCATTTCCCAGACTAATCACTATCCTGACTTCTAAAACCATCGATTAATTATACTTGCTGTTGATTTTTTTAGTCATTGAAATTGTATACTGTGTAATTTTGTGTCTGCTGTCTTTTGCTCAGTGTGTATTTGTCAGGTACATCCATTTTTTTTATATGGTTGTAGTTTGTGCCTTCTCATTCATTGCTTTGCAGTGTTTTGTTTGTTTATTTATTAATTTATTTCAATGGTATGTATAAAGCAGGGAATAATTCAGAATATAAATTCTGGTGAGCTCCATGAGGATAGGCAGCTTATCTATCAAGGATTATCCAGTTGCTCTAAAAATATCTTACTGATGTTGAGAAAGTATTCTTGGAGAAATGGTATAGAAGATTGAATTTTCTAAAATATCAAGTGAAGAATCTATGAAAGCTTATGTTGCACAGTGATTTTTAGATGTCAGTGTTGTGATTTTATCCTCAGGTACTGGCTTGCATTGGCTTTCTGAAGCCCTTCACTTATGTACTCCATTAACAAATTCTCAGGATGTTCAGCGTTTGAAAGATTGGATCTCTGAAACCTGGGTAAATCTGGCAATGGTGGACTACCCTTACAAGTCTGACTTTTTACAGCTTTTGCCTGCGTGGCCAATCAAGGTAACAGGAAAATGTTTTTTAATCACTTTTAATAACATACTTTTCATTTTTGCGTGCATGAATTTTGGGCCTTTCAACATCAGATGAATCCCAGTGACAAAGAATTAGTCAAATCTAGGCAGGGATCTTGACTTCTAACCCTTTCTGGTTACTCAGCCTTGGACATGTTACCTATCTTTTCCAAACCTCAGTTTTTTAATTTAAATAATGGAAATAAAATGCATAGGTTAGTCCTGGCTGTTGTGGCTCAGTGGGTTGAGTGCTGGCCTGTGAACCAAAAGGTCGCAGGTTTGATTCCCAGTCAGGGCAGAGGCCTGGGTTGCAGGCCAGGTCCCCGATTGAGGATGCATGAGAGGCAACTAGTTGATTTATCCCTTGCATGTGGATGAGAAACATGTGGATGTTTCTCTCTGTCTCTTTCTTCCTCCCTTCTCTAAAAATAAATAAAGTCTTTTAAAAAATGCATAGGTTCTAGTTATAGGAATTGGAAATAAGACAAATAGTTGCTGTTAATGGACTAATTACTATATGTCAAGTTCTAGGCTATTATGCGTATTCAGTTTATTTAATCTTTGTGATGTATGTGAGATACGTAGATCTATATAATACATGGTCAGTGTTTAATGAGTGGCAGCTGCTATCATAGCACTGTGATTCAGGCAACTGCTTCTGTACTATAGTGCTACATACATCATAAAGGGTCATCTGCCTCCAGGGGTGTGGAGTGGAAAGAGCACTGACTCTGGATCCTTTTACCATTCACCAGTGGTGTGATCTGGACAAGGTTCTCTTCTTCCTTAGCCTTCATGTCTTCCTCTGCAGAACGGAATACTCATACTTACATTCTCCTTAAGGTTGTGCTGAGGATCAGAAAAATTTTGCTTGTGAATATACTCTGGAAAGTGTAAAGACACATTACATCATAAATGTTAGAGGTTTTTTATACTAAAATTTGTTACTGTATATGCTCTTCTTTTTTTTGTATGTGCTTTTATAAGATTCCTTTGTAAAGAATTCTCCTCTTAGTTTTAAGAACAAAGGCTGGCCAATTTAATGGTTATTAAGTTTAGAGAATATACCTGATCTACAGCTAGAATGAGTGCTGGAAATATAAACAGAATTGATAATACAAGAACCAGGTTTCAAAAGCACTTTTACTATAACTGTCCCTTTGAACTATTGAATGCACACCTTGCTTAAAACTTTGTAACCCAAATGGAACAAGTTCGATTGCTATTAGAGATATTTTTCTTCCTCTAGAAAGTATAATGACCAGTGGGTGCCTTGCATGTAGCATGCCAGAGGTCAGTGTGTCTTGAATTAAATTGAATTTTGATAATACAAAGTTATTTAAAAGAGCAGGTCTCTCTGATGGTGAGAAAACCTAAATCAAAATAGTGAAAAAAACTAACTCTGAACCAATTTGTCTTCATATATGTCTATGTACTAATAATGCATTATCCTTTTATATTATTTTACTATTTACAAAGCACTTTCATAGACACTATCTCATTTAATCCCCACAAAAATAGTGTGAGAATGGAGGCATAATCCCAGTTTTTTGGAGAGAGAATTTAAGCTCAACAAAAAGGTGAGGATGTAAAAATTGAACTCAGGCCTACCGTTGTTCTGAGCCTATTATTTACCACATTGCACTGGGGTAGGACAAGACTTGTCTAAAGGTTTCGGTGGATTGCTGGCCACAGTGTGACAGTCATCAGATTTAATTCTGTCCTCTGGATACATAGTAAGAATTACATCTGCATCTTTGCCCACCTGAGAACAAATGAATTGTGAGATGGTAAAAACATGGGGAATTCTCTTTTTTAGAACAGGGTTTGGCAAACTATCTATAAAGGACTAGATAATAAATATTTTAGGCTTCGTGGGCCATGTGGTTTGTGTCACAGATACTGAAGTCTGAAGGTATAGTTAAGAAAGTAGCAGAAAATAGCCATAAACAATGTATAAATGAATGAGGATGACTGTGTTCCAATAATACTTAGTTATAAAACAGTCAGAGGGCTGGATTTGGCCGGGGACTGTAGTTTGCCAACCCCAATTTAGAAAAAAAAAGCTACAAGAATATAGCTTTTTAGTATTCATTTGTTTATGATTTGAAACAGTCTAATTTTGATTTCTTCACCATTTCTTTAATGTTCCTTTTAAGAAACTTTTCTGTTGAGTCTTAAATGTAAATAGATATTCTATTTTTCTCTCTTTTAAATAATCACTCAAAGTGAGTGGAGTATATCTCAAATATTTAGTCATCTGTTTTTGATTTAGCAGTCTATCTTTAGGTTATGTATATATAAATTATAAAAGTTCGTTTTGTTTTTTTTTTAAAGATTTTATTTATTTATCTTTAGAAAGGAAGGGAAGGAGAGAGGGAGAGAAACATCAACGTATGGTTGCCTTTCATGCGTCCCCTGCTGGGAACTGGCCTGCAGGGAACTGGCCTGCAACCCCAGTATGTGCCCTGACTGGGAATCGAACCGCGATTGTCTGGTTCGCAGGCCTGTGCTCAATCTACTGAGCTACACCATCCAGGGCAAAAAAGTTCGTTTTTAAGACAAGATAACTTTGTGTCTGTCCCATAGTCACTTTTTAAAAAAAAAACCTAGGACTAGTTCTTGTCACTTTCTTAATTATTTCTTACTGCCTTTATCCTTCCTTTTGACAGATTAAGGAATTTTTTATTGTTTATGATATATTTATAATTCTGTTTCTTGTCTGTACCCCACCAAAAATAATCTTTTCTCTTTGCCTTAAGAAACATTGATTGGCCAGATCAGTCTTCAGTTTTATCCGGTCTGAATTTTTCCACTACATGTCTCCCTCCCAGACTTCTAGGTTCAGACCACTGTCTTTTACTGTTCATTCTGTTTCTCCTTTCTTGACCCCCATTCTGTTTTCTCAACCAACTAATCCCCGGAACACTACCCAGTCGGGTCCTCTCTTTCACTTGGATAGTTCCATTTAACCAGGACTCCTCCTCCCTCTGATACACTTCCTCCTTTTTGAAGGGCTGACAAACAGCTGTCCTTTTCTTTTGTTTCTTTTAAAGTTTCCCTTTTATATTATTTTATTTTTAATTAAATGTATTGGGGTAACATTGATTAATATGATTATATAGGGTTCAAGTGTACACTTCTGTGATACTTGATCTGTGTATTGCACTGTGTGCCCACCACCTGAAGTCAAATCATCTTCCATCACCATATACCTGACACTCTATACCCTTTGCTAATCTCCCACCCTTCCCTCTGGTAACTGCCATACTCTTGTCTGTGTCTATGAGTTTGAGTTTTATATCCCACTCTGACTTAGGACGGTGAGATAATAAACAACAGTTGGGTTATGGTAAAAAGCAGTTTATTTCCAGTTCTGTCTGGACTTTGTAATGTTCTGAAGGATTCATGGGCAGTGACCGAATGCCATTTTCTGTGTCAACTCAAGTATCATTCTTTCTAATTTGTCATTGGGTTTTGCACACTGAGACTCCATTTGCTTTGTTTACTGTTAACAGTAGCTGCAATATTCGTGCAGAAGTAATCATGGTCGTGGCTGATAGAACCCACGGAAGAGGAGAAGAGGGAAATAGGACACGCCTCTGTCAGTGGACTGCTCTGTTAGCATAAAACTACTAGGTCTCTTCTCAGCTTAAAGAGCACTCTTAAAGGATATTGCAGAGTTTATTTATTTTGGAATCATTTTTCTTTAGCTGGCAATTCACCCAATCTTTTAGCTTATCCTTCTGAGCATGCAGATAGATGTTGTGAAATAATAAGATATAAAGTGGAAAATCTCTTCCGTTTGTCTTGGTTTGGTAATGTATGCGACCTCTCTGGGTGGTTTTAAGCGGTTTAGGTGCATTCTATGAAAAGGGAGCTTTTAATGACAAAACTAATGTGATTATCTGAGTGAGTGTGAGAGGGGTATTGAAGCCCCAGAGAATGAAAATCTGTTAGAAAAGCTGAATGTATCTGCTTAATCCTTTCTCTAATGTGGTCGGGATGTACTGAAAGGAGATTTTTTTTTTAATTCAATCTCAATTGTATTTTTTATTTACATTACCATTTAGTCCCCTTATACTGCTTTCCCCTGAGCAATCACCACATTATTGTCCATGTCCATGAGTCCATTTTCCTTTTTGCTCAAACCTTCCACCCACTGACCACCCCCACCCACAACTAGCTCTCATCTTGCTCTCCATCTATGAGTGTGTCCCCATTTTCCTTGTTAGTTCAGTTTGTTCATTTGATTACACATATGATTGAAATCATATGGCATTTTTCTTTCTAATATACTTTTTAATAATTGTTGTCCTGTAACAGTTGTCCCAATTTCCCCTCTGTTGCTCTCCCCTGGCCACCACTCCCCACTGTCCCACTCATAGTCAGTCCCCACCCTGTTGTCCATGGCTGTGGGTCATTTATACCTGTTCCTTAACTAGACCTTTCCCCTCTCCTCCATGCCTTTCGGTTGCTGTCACTCTGTTTCTTGTTTTCATGCCTCTCATTCTCTTTTGCTTGTTTGTTTGTGTTGTTCTCTAGGGTCCTTTTATAGGTGAGATCATATGGTATTTGTTTTTTTAGCTCCTGGCTTATTTCATTTAGCATGAGGCTCTCTAGTTCCTTCCGTGCTGTCATGAAAGGTAGGAGTTCTTTCTTTCTGCTATGTAGTATTCCATTGTGTAAATGTTCCACAGTTTTTTGATCTCCTCATTTACTGATGGGCACTTAAGCTGTTTCCAGCACTGCGGTATTGTAAATAATGCTGCTATGAACATTGGGGTGCATAGGTACTTTTGAATTGGTGTTTCAGGATTCTTACAATGTAATCCCAGCAGTGGAATTGCTGAATAAAAAGGCAGTTTAATTTTTAGTCTTTTGAGGAAATTTGATGCTGGTTTTCACAGTGGCTGCACTAGTCTGCATTCCCACTACAGTGTACTAGGTTTCCTTTTTCTCCAAAATCTCTCCAGCACTTTTAGTTTG